CATATAGCAAAACCTACACACAACTATTCTATTCTTGGGGGCAGAGAAACGTTACAGAATGTTTTACATTGCTAAGACGTGCACCACTGTACCATGTATTTCTATGAACTCTGCACACAAATTCAACTTTAAAGTAATTCTGAGCATTTAAACTTATACATGTTGCACATGTAAGGGTAATCGTGTTAAACTGTTGAGGAGAATTTGAACAACTCTCCCAAAGTATTGTTTTCTGAGAGTTTACATGCATGCTGCCACCAAGTGGTGTCTTTATTCTTTCCTTTTTTTATATGTTTTCTTTCGTTTTTCCAGCAAATGCGGCAAAATAAAAAGTGAGAGCTGACCATGTTAAACTGACATGCACACAAATCACAAACTGATCTATATTTTGTTTTTTTCACCTTTGTATATTCCCAATAATATGAAAGTAATATGTTATTATTACATTGTACAACAGAAAATTGCTATGAACATAAATATATATACATAATGTATTCAAATTTTAGGTTACACATTGTATGGTCTTGTGTGGTGGATTAATTTATGCAGGAACCGATCCAATGCAATACAATCCACTTATCTGGATTTGAATAAAATAGGTCAATTGGTCTGAGGCTCAACTGCCAAATATAAATGGCATTTCATTTGGAAGGAGGAAAGTGTATAAACTTATCAGGTCTGCACATTATCACAAAGCATCAGTGAAATCTTGAGATATACACATATATACATCCATAAATACAGATAAACTAAAATGCAACAACACCCATTGTGTGTCTTGCACAGTTATCAAATACACATCTGGTCATATTTAAATTACTGCACTTGCTTCAGAAGACAAAAATAAAATTTTTCACAAAAATAGTTGCAGATTTTGTCATCAAATTAACAAAACTGATAAAAGTCAATCCAATAAATGTAGACTATCAATATCAGCACTGAAGACTAAATAGTAGAACAAATTTCCATCTACACCCATTAAAGAAGCTCAATCAAATCAAATCAAATCGCCCACATGTCCAGATACAGGTATAGCTTAGCTACCCTATGCATGTTGCCAATAGGGGGGGGGGGTAGAAGGGAGGGGGTGCTCACTGAATCCAATCTATGCTGCACTAAAGCAACGACAACTAACAGAGAAATGTGAACATACGGTAAGCCCCTACCAAAAAAACGTATCAGAACAGTAAAAATGCATAAACAAAAGTATAACCACCATCACTGTATAAAATGGGTTAAAATTAGTAAATGAGATGTCCTGGTAGATGTAGCATTACTACAACTACAATGATATATGGTAGAAGCAGCCTGATTGTAGAGTACAGGTAGAAGCAGCGTGTCTGCGACTACAAGGTACATGTAGTTACTGAAGAACTGTAACTACAGGAATGTTAGATGGTAGAGGTAGCTCTACTGGTAGATACATTGGTATTGCACTACAAAGACTTTATTTGTATCGTAGTTGTCCGAGTATAAACCCCCTAGAGAAAACGGCAAATTGACGAAAAATTGGGGGGTGGGGGACAACTTATAAACAGATAAATGTTCAAACTTCTCCCAAGCGATACTTTATGCTAATTTATTCATAAACAAATCGTTGTGTGTACACAAGTGTCTTCATCGACTAGCATTGTCCAAATTAACTTGAGGATCGGTCGTTACGCCTGGGTCACCAATCACTCTTGGGTGCATTTACTAAGTGGAGCAGCATTGGACCCGGCATTTCACATGAATATTGGTCTGTACGTTTTGGGGTAACGAAAGTATATTCTAACACAACTGCATTGCTGCATATCACAATTGTGGATTATTACTCAGTGATTATAATAACGTACAAAAAAATAAATTCGTTGAATTGTTATGAAATGCAAATTATATTCAACTTAGTTTCATCGTAAGCAAATGATTCGGGTTGCATATAAATGCTGGATGCTGTCAGGTATCCGCCATGTTCTTTCTCTTGCAGAGTTGACCTGATACGTCAAAATGCTCGATGATGCCATCGTGTTCTAATTACCATTATACCTCATTTAAATATTGTTAAAGTTATTGAACGCAATGCGGAAGAGATTTTCTGATGTTGTAGAAAGATCTTTTGGCTTGGATTTTCAAGGGAAAATGGCATGATTTTTTTTTTCAAATCAAAAAATAGTTGTTTTCAAAAGATGAACTTAGCATTAGAAGAATAATTTAACATTGTTTACAGTGATAACAGTTTTTTGTCCAAACGAAGCTTACCCATTTCACACTAGTAACAATAAACACGTTTTTGAATAAAAACTTAAATAGACCATTTTAGGAAAGATTGAAGCCTATTTTTATTTTTATTTGCTTTTCAGGGCCACCACATCCTTCAGGAAGGGAACTACCGTTATTCACATACCAAATAATTTTGCCAGACCTTTTGGGGGTGCTTATAATCTGATAAATGACTTGTTGTGAAATGCTGTAAATTTGGAGGGGGGTTATACTCAAGCAGGGGTTTATTATACTCAGACAACTACAGTATATGTAGGTAGCAAAGCTACAAAGTAAAAATGGCGAGCACCATAACTAGAATGGTAAAATGAAGTGATGATGAAAAGTAGGTCCTTCAGTCCTACACATATAAAGAAACTAAAAAAACAATACAATTAAAAACATGCATAAATTAAAAAAACAGTTATCTTGGGGGATAAATTGTCTAAAGGAAGAAAGCAAAGGCCACAAAACGATGCCAATTAAATAGGAAATTGGCAGAGTGGTCTGTTGAGCTAAAAAACTGATTTACAATAGGTTCATAAAAGTTAAGCTGTTGTGATTGGCCAAGTTGTTTTCAACCATCATTTGAAATTTGTAAAACATTTATGAATGTTTTGTATAAAAATATTCATGCATTCATAAGAATCACGGTATACACTCACTTTCATAAAGGCATGAAAGGCATTACGGTGATCGTAACAACCGATGTGTAGCAGAGATTGATGTGTTACCGTAATGTTTGTGTGCATACTATGCAATATTCTTGTGATAACCTTAATATTATACATCTATTCCCTGCTTGTAATAATAATTTTGTGAAATATAATGACAAATGTTGCACAGTGCGAACTTTGCATTTAGTGATAGGATTTTATTTAAATCACATGCTGATAGTAAATCTAAAGAAAAAAAAGAGTTTTAGTGTGACATAAACGTGATGCACAATTATCAAGAGAAACACATTTATACAGCATTTTACAGATGGGTAAATTCTATGGTTTTTGGTGCCAGATGTATAATAATTTGTATTATATATAATATTTTCAAATAATTTATAAACTTTTAATGATGGTTGAAAGCAACTTTGCAAGAGGAACTCTTTCCCCAGTTGCTCTGGAAATAAAATCACATTCATCAAAAACCATTATATGTCCTATGGTTTCAATGAAATATGTTTGCGCACAACTAAGATTTGGTTTGATGATATTTTTAATAAATTCACTAAAATGGATGCCATTCAGCCATTTTGAATTAGATCATGAAACGAATGTGAATCTCTGAACAGGTACAGATGGATGGTTCACGAAGGTGAAGAGGGCAGAGTGAAGTTTTCTACTGTGATTTTCTTACCTAATATTCTTGCATGAATAATTACAGTAATTTTTCTATTTTCATCAGTTTCATTTATAAGTTGAAATTCTTCCTGCATAACGCCATCCTTTCTTGTAATAAGTTCCATGACAATGTCATGTCCATCACCTACCAAATTACATGTAAAAATTGTTATAGACATTATCAATTTCATATAGAATTACACAAATATTACAAATATTACAAATGTGACATAACTGGCGAGTGCCAAATGTGACATAACTGGCGAGTGCCAAATGTGACATAACTGGCGAGTGCCAAATGTGACATAACTGGCGAGTGCCAAATGTGACATAACTGGCGAGTGCTAAATGTGACATAACTGGCGAGTGCCAAATGTGACATAACTGGCGAGTGCTAAATGTGACATAACTGGCGAGTGCTAAATGTGACATAACTGGCGAGTGCCAAATGTGACATAACTGGCGAGTGCTAAATGTGACATCACTGCTGAGTGCCAAATGTGACATCACTGCTGAGTGCCAAATGTGACATCACTGCTGAGTGCAAAATGTGACATCACTGCTGAATGCCAAATGTGACATCACTGCCGAGTGCCAAATGTGACATTACTCGCACTGTACATCGGCCTGGGCGTGGTACACTGTACATCAGTCTGAGCATGGCGCACTGTAACTCAGTCTGGGCGTGGTGCACTGTAACTCAGTCTGGGCATGGTGCACTGTATCTCAGTCTGGGCATGGTGCACTGTATCTCAGTCTGGGCATGGTGTACTGTATCTCAGTCTGGGCATGGTGCACTGTATCTCAGTCTGGGCATGGTGCACTGTATCTCAGTCTGGGCGTGGTGCACTGTATCTCAGTCTGGGCGTGGTGCACTGTAACTCAGTCTGGGCGTGGTGCACTGTATCTCAGTCTGGGCATGGTGCACTGTATCTCAGTCTGGGCATGGTGCACTGTATCTCAGTCTGGGCATGGTGCACTGTAACTCAGTCTGGGCATGGTGCACTGTATCTCAGTCTGGGCATGGTGCACTGTATCTCAGTCTGGGCATGGTGCACTGTATCTCAGTCTGGGCATGGTGCACTGTAATGCAGTCTGGGCATGGTGCACTGAAACTCAGTCTGGGCATGGTGCACTGTATCTCAGTCTGGGCATGGTGCACTGTATCTCAGTCTGGGCATGGTGCACTGTAACTCAGTCTGGGCGTGGTGCACTGTAACTCAGTCTGGGCATGGTGCACTGTATCTCAGTCTGGGCATGGTGCACTGTTTCTCAGTCTGGGCATGGTGCACTGTATCTCAGTCTAGGTG